CTGGGGTTACAAAAACAAATTGGTCACCTTGGCCTGAGGTTCCCTGTGGTTTATAAAACGTACCCCACCATATCGTGATTATTTATCACGCTAAATAATTTTCCCACTGGAGAGTGGAGACTGAGTCTTAATCATCCCTGTGTCCTCGGCAGCTGACTCCAGCCAGGAACTGGCTAGAAAAGGATGACCAAGTAGAGATTTGAAGGATGGGAAGGAGTTAGGTAGAGAAGGAGGTACAGGCCCCATGTGGGTTAGAAGTGACAGAAACTCAACTTGAACTGTATAGGCAAAGGGGGACATCTATGAACTTTCATAATCAACCTGTGGGAACAGCTGGTTGCAGGGACAACTGGACCTCCAGCCGGACTCTCTTGTCCCTTGTCCCTCATGCCCTCTGAATGGCTGTTTATTTCTCCAGGTTGACTTTCTCTAAGAGGCTGGGAACATGGCAATGGCAACTCTTAGCCTCACATCTGCCCTTAGCTTAAAACAAAAATCTCAAGGAAGGATTCTGACTGACCCAACTTGGATCAGGCATCCTCTCCCACAGCCAGGACAGGTACAATGAATACCATCCCCCACCAGAACCACAGGGTTGGGTGAGGACAGGAGTCCCCCCAAAAGAAGAAGAGGGGCTGATCCCCAAAGAGAGGGGTGCCAGGCAGATAAATCACACACATCAGGTACTTTCAGGTGCAAGTACCAGAACATATGACTAAAATGTGGCTTATACAAGAAGCCTGGGAGTGGGCAGTTTCAAGATTGGTCAATTCTGCCACTCACAGACTTCATCAAGAAGCCAGGATCTTCTCATCCACCTGCCTCACTGTCCTCAGCATGTTGGCTTCTGTGGCTCTTTCAGGATCACATCATCACCCACCTGTGCTCAAGGCAGGAAAAAAGGTGATTACCTTGATACATCTCTTTTTTTATGAGGGAGAAAAACTTTCCCAGAAGCCCCCAGAAGGCAATTATGTGTCATTGGCCAGGAGGTCACATGCTCACCTCAAACCCATCTCAGGCAAGAGAACTGGGAGTGCGATGACTGGTTTAAACTGGGCAGGATTCACTCACCTTACCAGAGTACTTGCTACTCAACACCCACACTCAACAGCAGCTCTCGTGGCAAAGGCCAGGGGGATGGCTGTCGGTGGGTGTGCAGGCTCGACATCTCTGCTTCCCTGCCTCCCTGCAAACAGAACCCCAATTCTATTGCAGCAGCAATATGCCCTGCTAAAAACATATTCTCCAGCTTCCCTTGTAGCTAAAGACCATCATGTGACACTATTGTGACCAAGATGCCAGATGCAAGAGGAAGTCTCTCTTAAGGGCGCTGAGCTAGCTAGCAATCACTGGTTTTTCCTTGGTCCTTCCCCCTTGTCCTGCCTGGAATGCGAGTGAGATGCTGGAGCGTGGAGGTGTGGAGCCTGTGACACCTCAGCAGGGTCCCTGATGAGGTCATGGAGACCCACGCCAGGCAGCCCTGAGTTACTTCTTGTTACATGAGAAAAACAAAAAGTAATGAAATGGTTTAAGCCACTGTTTTTGCAATCTCTGTTACCTGCAACTGATCCAATTGCTAACTGGTTAAAGGGTGTCCACCGTCAGCCATTTTAAACAGCAGGAGCAGCACATGAAAGGAGGTAGCTAGTACATAGGTTGAGTCTTGGTGATTGACAAGAGCTGAGTCTGGAAGAAGTAGGGTCAGACCCTGTGCGCCTCATTCATTCACTCATACTTTCATTCGTGAAACATTTACTGAGCACCTACTCTCTGTTCGGTCCCAGGAGGAACAAAGGGATGTGAAGACAAATAGAACAAGGTTCTCGTTCTCCAGGAGCTCATGGGGGAAACAGAAAATTAAACTCCAGTGCAAAACAGTGAAGAAGGACAGGATCATGCACCGAATGAGACAGGACCACAAAGGACTCTTATGGTTGCAAGTGATGGGACTGCAGTGTGTACTGGCTTAGACTAAAAGCTTACAGGCTCATATCATCAAAATGAAGGAAGGAAGAGCAGAGGGAGAGTGTGAGCAGAGAGAACACCTGAGCAAAGGCAGGGTGGTGAGAAACAGCCCAGTGTGTGTGGAGAGCCATGAGAGTTGGCATAGCAGGCCATAAAGACCAGGGGATGGAGCAACCAGAAGGAGCTGGAAGAGCCCACGGGCCATGTCATGGGGAGCCTTGAATGCCAGGACATGGCAAATGAATGTCATCCATAGCAATGGGAAACTGCGGAGGGAGGGAAGGGGCTGTCAAACAGGAATGCAGGGGTGAGATTTGGGGTTTAGAAGGGTCACGTTGACTGTGGTATAGAGGATGGATTAGAGAACAAGACTGCAGCCAGGGAGTCTCATTAGGAAGTTGTTGCAATAATGCAAACAGTATCATGGTATTGTACACATGGGGAGTGCCATGAACATAGCCAGAAGGGGCTGTATCGGGAGACAGTTCAGAGTCAGAATTGGCAGGCTTGTGATCAACTGGAGGTGGGCGATGGTAGGGGGAAGTGTGAAGGACGACTCCTTGGTTTCTGATGGAGAGAACTGGGTGGGTGGTAGCATCATTTGCTGAAATGGGGAATGCAAGGAGAGCAGATTGGAGGGAGATGATCAATTCAATTTGGGATGCACTGAGCTTGAAGGGCCTGTGGGACATTCTGGTGGAGATGGCCAGAAGGCAGTTGGATATTTGGGCCTAGAGCTCCGGAGAGAGGTCTAATTTGGAGAGAGAAATACAGGAACCACCAGAATTTAGAAAGACATTGACAATGGAAAACCAGGGGACTGGATGAGATTCCCCAAGGGAAAGTGCTTAAGGCAGCAGTTCTCAACAAGATATGCATGGGGCGCGTAACTCCATGGGAGAGTGCTCAGAATCAGCAGGAGTCTTTTCCAAAGTGCACACCCCACCTTCAATTCCAGTAAATACCCTAGGGAATGTCACTGAGGGGAACACTGTTACTGATGAGGAGGTGACCTCAGGTAGAAAGACATTTGACACCACTGGTGAGAAGAAGAGGGTCAAGATAGGCACAGAGCAGAGGAAGACGAGTCAAGAAGGAAAGTGAAAGGAAGTGAGGTTTGAGGAGACGCAGGAGAGCCAGATGCCTGCGTGTTTGGACAGAGCTGTGGTTCTCTAGTCTTCTCTCAGTGCATACCAGGGGTGATAATGAAAAATACCCACTCTTGCCCTTTGCCATTCTGATGCTGTGGGGCCCTGGAATCTGCATGGTAAAGAGTTCTACCTGCACTACCTCTGGGCAGAGACGTTCATGGAGGTGGGCGCGTCAGCAGGCTCATGCCAGCAGAGGGGATGGGTCCAGCAAGCTGAAGACTGTATAGGTCTATTGGATTCCACTCTTCAGGAGGCCACTGGTAACCACGGAAGAGGAAATTGTAGTGGTGTCGTGGGAGTGGAAGCCAGATTGCAATGGGCTGAAGAGTGAATGGGAGGTGAGAAAGAGAAGACAGCAAACGTGGACTTCTTTTGGGAGAAGTTTGGATGAGAGGCAGAGGCAAGAGCATCATCCCCCTCAAAGGCATCCTGGATAGAGTTGGCAAAGAGGATTAAGAAAATCTGGAGGCTGAGTCAGACATTCTACGGACCCTCACAACGCACCAGGGAGGCAGGTTGGGAATCAGCAAGGGCCTGGCACACTTCAAGCTGCCAAGTCTCAAAATCACTGCCTTCTGTCTACCCACTCCAAATCCAGCCCACCATCTCCCCCACCACAGCACTCTTTCCATAACCCAAATGTGACCATACTGCTGCCCTGCTTGAAACCCTCCAACAGCTACTCCCCCCATTCTTATCTCACCCCAGGGAGCACTCAAGTCCCTCAACCTGGTATTAGAACCCTTCTGACTACTTCCCTCTGCATCTTCACCCCACCCCTGGTCACATTCACCCTCGACCCAGACCTCACGGAGCCACTAGTAGCTCCTCAGTGAACTATGCTGTCCCACCTCATTAGCCTGCAGGTCATGTTAGACTCAGCCAACTCAAGCACCACACTCTCAGAGTTAGTCACTCCCTCCTTGGAGAGAACCAGAACCTTGCCTACACCTCTACCATAGCACAGGTAGAATGAATTATTCTCTATCTATTTGTTAATGAGGCTGTCCCCAAACTGGACTGTGCCATCCATGGGATCAAGGTCTTCATCTTACTCCTCTCAGAATCACTAGCACCTAGCCAGGGCTGAGCTCCCAGTAGGTGCCAGTAAATGTGGCAGCGGGGTTTCATCCCAAGTACTCATCACAGTAAAGTAAAGGTTTAAATTATGGAATACTCACCCAACTGACCCTTGATCCTCCAGTCTGTGGAATCTGCCTGTTCTTCCCCTTCCCCCTTTCCCTTCTCTCCAGTTGTACCAATACTTTCAGATTAATTTTCCCTCCCAAAGGGAAGAGAAGGCAGGCTCTGGACAACTATGTCTTTAAGTCAGATGGTACAAATGTTCCCCGGCGACTAGGGATAGGCGACTTTATGAGGGTATGGCGCAAATGGAAAGAGCACCTGGGTTTCTTCCCCAGGAGCAGTACTCCAATTCTTTCCTTTAACCAGTTACTTACCCTCTCTGAACTTTAGTTCAGATAGTATTGCGGATACTACTCCCTAAAAGTATTACGATGAGACTTAAGTGAAATACTAATTGTAAAGCTCTACATAAATGCTGGTTATTATTAGGCTTTTGAGATCATAAAAGATAGCAGCTCAGTGTCACGACACCAAATTACATTCGTTACTTCAAATGATTCCAAGAAACTCCCAAGGCAATACTGTTTTTCGAAGCATGTTTCTCTAAAAAGAGAACCTCAACATGTCCCCGGCTCCTCCGGCACATTTAAGACGACTATAAGAGTGAAGCCCCGCCTCCTTAGTCTCTAAGCCACGCCCCTTTCCGTGTAAACGCCTACGTTCTAGGGCCCTCAACATTGATTGACACTTTTATTCACCAGTAATAAGTGAAATTCCCGTCAACGTCCGGTGAGGGGGCAGGACTTCCTTGCTGGTTGCTAAGACACTCTTGTTTCGCTCCTTGACAACCCTGGCGGGGGTTCGCTGGTTGCGGCCCCGGCTCCGGCCCCCGCGGGAGCAGGTGAGGCCCCGGGGCGCGGCGGGCAGCCAGGCGGGGAGGGCAGGCCCGGAGGGAGGGCGGGAGGCAACGCGGGGCGGAAGAGGCCTCGCCTACCGCCGAGGCCCCACCTCAGTCTTCTGCCTGCTGTTCCCCAGCCCCAGGTCCTCCCACCCTCAACCCCCACCCCCACTTAGGGACCTGCGAGCCCGGTCGTGACAAATTTGCTGTCGCGACTCCGCAGGCCGCGCCTCTCCACCCACCCGAAACTTGTCCAGCTTCGCGCTCCCGCATCCTCCCACATCCGACTCCCCACAGCACCTTTGTCCCGCCGCCTTTCGCGACTAGTAATGTTCGCCTCGGCCCAGACCACTTGACTTGGGAGAGTTGGCGACATACTGGGACTCCTGGCTGATTATTTCCCCTCTTTGGGTCTCAGTTTCTCTATCTGCAAACGAGAAGTTGGGTTGAGTGATCTCTAAGGCCTCTTCCACTCTGATGTTCTAGGTCGGGTATTGTACTTTGACCCAAGTGCAGTCCCCGTGGGAGGCATTGTGTGTCAAAAGAACTTGGCACACCTAATTTGGATTCCCAGTTGCTGGATCCTAACAAGTTACCTAACCTCCCTGGACTCCAGTCTGTGCATAGATAAAATCAGTGTACTACGGTGCATCTCCTTTGGAAATTCTGAGGATAATATGAATTAAAGTACAAAGTCCAGATCAGTGTAGATTCAATATTCTTTAGTTTCCTTCCTTTGTCTATTACTTACCCCACATTTTCCCTCTCTGCGAAATGTTACCAACCAACCCCCTTGGCATGAGCTGTTATTTCTCCAGTTGACCCCCAGATCCATGTGTCCCCCTCTGACCTTTCTCCTGGGCTTCCATTTTTAGGGATACTTGGTGGGGGAGGGGGGCAGATAGAGATTATTATGTGCCACGTAACAATGTTTCCATTAAGGATGGACTGCATATACCATGGTGATCCCATAAGAGTATAATGGAGCTGAAAAATTCCTATAGCCTAGTGATGTCATCGCCATCATAATGTCATAGCACAATGCATTACTCATGTGTTTGTGGTGATGCTGGTGTAAACAAACCTGTGCTGCCAGTCCTATTAAAGTATAGCACATACAATTATGTACAGTACATGATACTTGACAATAAATGACTTACTGGTTTATGTATTTACTATAACTATACTTTTTATCATTATTTTAGAGTAAATTCCTTCTACTTACCAAAAAAAAAAGTTAACTGTAAAACAGCCTCAGGCAGTTCCTTCAGGAGGTACTCCAGAAGAAGGCATTGTTACCATAGGGGATGACAGCTCCACGTGTGTTATTGCCCTTGAAGACCTTCCAGTGGGACAAGATGGAGGTGGAAGACAATGATATTGATGATCCTGACCCCATGTAGACATAGGCTAATGTGTGTATTTGTGTCTTAGTTCTTTCTTTTGAGACAGAGTCTCACTCTATCACCCAGGCTAGAGTGCCATGGCGTCAGCCTAGCTCACAGCAACCTCAAACTCCTGGGGTCAAGCAATCCTCCTGCCTCAGCCTCCGAAGTAGGTGGGACTACAGGTGTGTGCCACCATGCTGGCTAATTTTTTCTATTTTTAGTAGAGATGGGGTCTCGCTCTTGCTGAGGCTGGTCTCAAACTCCTAACCTCAAGCGATGCTCCCGCCTCAGCCTCCTAGAGTGCTAAGATTACAGGTATGAGCCACCATGCCTGGCCTGTGTCTTAATTCTTAACAAAAAAGTTTAAAAAGTAAAAAATAAAATATTTTAAAAATAGAAAAAAATTTATAGAATAAGAATATAAAGAAAATATTTTTGTACAACTGTACAATCTGTGTTTAAGCTATGTATTATTACAAAACAATCAAAAAGTTTAAAAAATTAAAAAGTTTACAAGGTAAAAAAGTTACTGTAAGTTAAGGTTAATTAGCTTAACCTTAATTTAAGAAAGAAAAATATTTTTGTATGCATTTAGTGTAGCCTAAGTGTACAGTGTTTATAAAGTAGCATACGGTAGTGTCCTAGGCCTTCAAATTCACTCCCCACTCAGCCCAACTCACCACAGCAACTTCCAGTTCTGCAAGTGAAGGCCCTGTATAGGTGTGCCATTTTTTATCTTTCATACCATATATTTACTGTACCTTTTCTATGTTTAGGTATATTTCGATAATAAATACTTACCATCGTATTACAGTTGCCTATGGTATTCAGTATAGTAACATGCTGTACAGCTTTGTCGCCTAGGAGCTAGGCTGTACTATGTAGCCTAGGTTTGTAGTAGGCTATATCACCAGGGTTCGTGTAAGCACACTCTATGATGTTCACACATGATGAAATTGCCTAATGACACGTTTCTCAGAACAAATCCCCTTCATTAAGTGACATTACGACTGTATTGATGTGATACTTGGATTGATGACTTCCTTTCTGCCCCTGTTAACCCATGATTTGGTGATTTCTTCCTCCTAACCAGATACCTCTATCTGCATATCTCTCCAGCAACTTAAACTCAGTAGTTCTAAAATCAAACTGGCCTGCTTCTCTACCTACCCTTCTCTACATGGTTCCCCCGTCCCTGTGAGTGGCACCTCCATCCTCTTGGGGCATCATTTGTCACTCTGCCATGCCCATTCCACTCAGGCAGTTATCAGGTTGTTTTGATTCTGCCTCCATGAGGAGTTCACATCCTCTCCATTCCTGAAGCTACCACCCTGGTTCAAGTCTATAATGCCTGTCACCTTGGCCATTGCTATAGCTTCCTAACTGCTGTCCCTGCCTCTAGTCTCTCCTGTCAACCCAGCCCACCAGAATAATTGCCCTAAAACACAACCCTGTCACCCACGACCAGGAGACCTCCAAAGGGCTTCCCCATTCCCCACAAAAAATATCCACACTTCTTAAGTCTGGGTTTCGAGCCCTTCACTTCCACAACCCGATCCCAGCCTTTTCCCCAGCCTTGTTTCTCCCTTCTTTGCCACATTCTATCCTCCAGCCAAATTGGACTGTTGGACTTTCACAGAAAAATGCTTTGTGCTTTCTGTTTTGGTAACACTGTGTTTGTTCACCTGCCCGAAAGGTCTTCCTCACCTTGCCCTCCTGTCAAGATTTCCACTCACCTTTCAAGGCCTGACTTAAATGTTACATCTGCCACCAACTTCTCTTCCTGTCCTCTCTCACTCCCTCAAGAGTTTTCCTCTTTCCTCTATCTCTACATCTGTCTCCCGGCACTACTTGCTGCCATGAACCATAGTTCGTTCCTTGTGTATGTGTATGGGTCTCCATATTGGAGTGTAAGCCCCTTGAAGACAGGCACTGTCTCTTGCTTATAGCGGAGTAGTTGAAAAAGGATTATCTTTGAAGTTGTTCCATCCATACCTGGGATGGAAATTTAGCCCCTCTATTTATTAGCTGTGTAGACAGTCACTTTCCTTTCCTCAGCCACCTTGCTCATCAATAAAACGGGAAATAGTGCCTTTCTGACAGAGTTCCTGGGGGAAGTAAATGAGATCCTGTATGTAGAATACCCATTTTGGTGCCAGGCTCAAGATCAATGTTCAACAAATCTTATTGAATGGATTCGATGGGTCCTCTCCCTTCCCAGGGGACAAATGAAATATAATTTAATTACAATTTGGATATTTTTTGGACTTCTGCCGTGTGCCCTGGCTGCTCTGGAGCATCCAGTGGACAATAAAGTCCCTCAGCCCGAGCCGATTGTCTTGACTCACGACGCATGGTTAAGTCGTGATCGGTTGTGAGATGTCACTGGTAATTAGCAGTTGTGAATGTGTTTCCAAAAAATAAATCTTTGCTAAGTCCAATTTATTTCTTAGTCCCTTACATTCAAATCTGTTCACTTGAGTGGGAAGGAAGTGGGTGGGAGCCTGCCTAGTCTGCTGTCTGTAGTAAGCAGCTGTTCTCCTAGAGAGCTAATAGCTGTGATGGTTATGACTTTTTGTTATACTTTGTATCTTGACAAGTTGGGATTTCATCCAAATTTGGATACACCACATGAGTCAATATCCTTTATCACGTGGTGCTGGACATGAGGAAAATGTTAAGAATTGCTGATCCAGGCTAGTCCACAGGTCTCTCTTCTCTTCCATGCCGCTCCCTCCCTCTGCCCCTTCCCCAGTCCAAGGCACATTTTCGCTGGACCTTAGCAAAATGAGGAAAAAAAATAAGGACCACATTAAAAAAACAAAACAAAAACAATCTTCGTGTGTCTTTTCTTGAGGAGGGCCAACATTTATTCTGCCAAATTTTCCTCTTTTAGAGTAGATGTCTCTTCTAATGCTCTTACTCAGCAGAATTTAAAAATGGCAGCCCTGTGTTTGCTCCCTCCATTTTAAACTGGTCTAGAAAACCTGGTCTTTGGCATTGTTTTCTAACCTCACCACTGACGTCTTGGATGAATACCCCGAAGTCCTTAGGGTCCTTTCTCCTCCCCTCTCCAGCTTTGTTCTTCATTTGTTTGCTAGAAGGCAGACAGAGGACGTGTCAGGAAAAGGCTGAGGATGACTGAGGTGCCCAAATGTGTATTCCTGACATGGCAGGAGGCAGCAGGCAGGCCTAGACAGATGGCTGGACTGGTGGATGTTGGGTATTGAAGTCATTTGTGTTACTGTCTTGTCTCCTACTTGCTTGTGCCAAAGGAGAAGTCACAGCAGGTAGTGTCAGAAGAATAGGTCCAGGTTCAGATCCCATTGCTGGCTGTGCACCTTCAGGCCAGCCATACAACCTCTCTGAGCTCCCGTTGCCTTCTCTGAGAACTGGGACCCGGATACTTCCCTTAAAAGTTGTTACAAGGATGGAATGAGACACGAAGTGAAAGCACAGTGTAATCACATGCTACCACCTTGGCCTCTGGCCCAAACAGGTTGCACAGAATTTTTTGTGTGTGTGATTCGTTTCTCCTTCAGTGCTAACACAGTGATTTGTACATAGTGGGAACTTGGGAAATACTGGTTTGTTTGGCTGAACATTTAAATGTATAGCTGGCTGGTTATGAAGGCTATCACAGTTTCCCTTCCTACTGCACCAGTAACAGGAGCTGATGTTGACTGTGAGGTAAAGTCTATTCTTATTCCCAGTTTCCAGATAAGAAAAAGGAGACAGACAGAGGTAAGCACTAGTCTGAAGCAGAACCAAGGTGTGACTTCAGCAGATCTGCTGGTAGAGCCTGTACTCAGAACCGCCATGACCTGTCCCACGTGTGTCCTTCAGTCTCTCAGATATGTGATGGGTGGTAAAGGGTGGCAAGCCATGATCTAAGGGCCAAGAATGTTCCAGACATTGAGTGACTGTCCCCCACCCCCAAGGAGGCTGGCAGATATTTCTGGCCTTGTTTCCCAGAATCCATTCATTTCCCCTCATCCCTCCCATATACCCTAACCCTCTTAAGGATTCTTCCCAAATGGTTCAGAAGCAAAATAATAGATGGTGATTGAGGTCAGCGCCACAAAAAGAAAAGGGACAGTGAGACAAGGAACACCGGCTTTGACAGGCGATGAGATAGAGAGCCCTCGTCTGTGCCCTTGTCGCCCAGGCAGAGCCGCACGTCTGACGTGGCTGAGGCCGTGTAAAGCATGCAGACAGGCCGTGGGTAAGGAGGGGGAGAGAACAAGGCTGCCTCTGGCTTTGTGCATCATGGCGGCCAGATGGGATGAGGTCGAGCTTCGGTACCCAGCAGATTCTAGCATCCTGGCCGTGGGCACGCTTACATTATTAAAAGGCTCTTTTAGGCTTGACAGGACTTCGTTCTGGCCTGAAGCATTCAGGCACACACTCATTTGCATGGAAGATTGATAAGGTTATTAGAACCTCTAGTTCTGCTATTTTTGGTAGCATTCTTTCAGCAGGGTTTCTTTTAATCGTGGCCGAATGACTGTAGCTGTGCCATAATGATGCAGAGTCATAAAAAATTCTCCTGCCTTTCTGTATTTGGAAACACATCATCTGTAACTATTCCTTTTCATTCTGTAAGCCTCAGCCCTTTTGGATCCCCAGAAGTATATGTAGTGGTTAGGAAAAGCTCTTGGCAACCACGATCTTTAATAAACTTGGTTGAATAATGTTGACCAAGTCCTAGCTTATAACACGGCGGCAGTAGAGAGCAGTGTGATGATATTGGTGCAGAGAGGCTGAAAATTTCAGAACGCTCACATCCATACACTTGGGGCTTGCAGCAGCTTTGCGAGATTGGGAAGATGGATTAGTATCCCTTTTAATAGAGAAAGAAACCAAGACTTAGGTTAAATTATTTTCCCAAGGCTACAAAGCAAAGAAGTAAGCGGAATTCATTTCTGTTATTGAACTGGTATTCACACCTGAGTATTCTGGCTCGTGGTCCTACCCGGCTCTCCACAAGGTGCTGTCTCAGTGGCTTTTTCCCCTTTGTTTCTGAAGAATGGGCTTCGGTAATACCTGTGAAGATCTGTGACATTTCAGCAGGATTCTGCGTGTTAGAACTGAGTTTAAGCAGCTGCCGCTGACCCGGACCTTGCGGGCAGCATATGCACAATTGGCCCTCAGTTCCCTTTCTGACTCCTATATGCCACCACTTTTGAGCCCTGAGGATGAATTGAATCAAATTGAAATATTTAGGGGGAAGATGCCTGAGCAGCTGCTTCCACATTTTAAGTTGTTCCCACTTGAAATAAACACGCCATAATCCCCTTTTCCTGTTGTCATCAGTGTAGCCACCACCTCTGTCACACCTTGATGAATGTGGAGGAGGAGGCAATAAAGTGGCTGTTACTAAAGCTGGGAGGACACGATGGAATTGGAGACGGGCCTTAACATTAATGAGCAAAGACAAAATGATTCACTGGATTTTTGTGAAATAAGAAACCTGACCAGGAAGTACAATGAGACTGCGCTTGGTAACTTTCCAGGTTATATGTAGAGACAAACAAAAATTGCTAATATCCGAGTGGTGCAACTGCCCAGAATTGATGAGATAAGAGGAACCATCTGTCCATTGAGAAATTAGCAAATACCAGTGTCATGGGGTAGTGGAGTCAGTGCCAGGCTTCCAGCCTCGCTCAAGGGAGCTGACCAAATGGAGGGCACTGAGGGCTTCTGCAGCATGTTGGGGAGGGGGTAAAATTGAGAGTATAGCCCAGAAAGCGTGCCCAGAAAGCTCAAGCCTCGGCCAAACCAGGGTCCCGTTAACATTAGAACAGCAGACACTGAAAGGGCGGATCATTGTCTCCCTGCTGGGATCATAGGAGCCACAGTAGTGGGCAGTTACACAAACATGTCCATGGGGAGGCTGTGTGAATAGGGGTTAGCAGTGCCTATGCCGGGCTCTGTCACAGCCCAGCTCTGTCACTCACTACCTGAGTGACCTCAGGCCAGCGACCTCACAGCTTCATGCCTCTGTGCTTGCAGGACCTAACTCCCAGGGTTGTTGCAGTGACGAGCTGTGTAAGTGCATGTGGCACACTCAGAACAGTGGCTGGCACACGGGAAACCTACCAGCTGTTGCTTGTCAATACCTGCCCGTTAGTTACTGTACTAAGCATCTTGCGGTTCAGTGACTGCAGTGATAGTAAATTCCCTTGGAAATGTGAGAAATGCTGGAATAACATTATTTGTCCAACACAGATCATTAAAAAGGGCTAAACAACGTGGCGATTTGTATTCATTTGTGTCAGTAGTTCTGAGATTAAAAGCCCTTTGAATTATAGGATAAATTGAACTGTAGGATGAAAGACAAACGCCAGGGTTTCTAGCAATGCTCCCAGGCATCTAGGATCTAGGCCTCTTTAGGAAACACCCCATCTGTTAGTAGATAACTTGATTTTTGTGGGGTGTGGTGGGGGTGGGGAGAACGGGGAGGAACACTTACATGTGTGTAAGGTATCATAACTGTGCTTCATACCCACACGCATTCTCTCATTTGATCCCCCTGGGAGCCAGAGGGAGGGAACAGCAGTTTATTGGCACTGTGTTAAGTTGCTTTATATATGTTATCTCATTGAATTCTCTATAACAGCCCCATGAGATAGACATGACTGTCCCTGTGTTACTGGTGAGGAAACTGAGGCCCAAGGCCATGCTGCTGGTGGGCAGTTGAACCAGCACCAGCGTCCAAGCCTCCCAACTCCTGGGCCAGCCAGACAGGACCCGGTGGCCCAAGAGGGAGTAGGCAGGAACAGCTGGGGAGCCTGGTGTGCCCACAGCATGGAGCAGCACTGTTCCCCTTCCCCCACAATCAGAGGCCTGTTCAGGGGGCTCCTTGCTTGCCAAGAGATCGTCGATGGGGACCTGAACATTTAACTTCCTAACAGTGTCTTCTGGGAATTAGTGGGCATGCAGAGAAGCTGCGTTTGTTAATTGCTAGCTCAAGGCTCCATCCTGCAGGCCTGGCCCGCCGTCAGTATTTGTCTTGATAATGACAGTGTGGGCTTGCAGCATCGTACCAGTGTGTTCTTAACCAGGTCCCAGCATCTCGTGTTGACTCATCCTCATGTCTGCAGACTCGCTGGCCATTTGGAAAAGGATGTGGAGGAGTTAAGACGGGGAGGTGTCAAATCGTTACCGAGACATTTCTAATTTGTGATGTATGGTTTTAAAGCCAACTCTTCTCTCCTGGTTTTTCCTGTCTTCTACAGCACCCCTTGGGGAAAGACATTTTCTGCTCCCGCCAAGCTGGCAGGGCCTGCGTCCTGAACCTCCTGGGTGTGTCTTAATCTCCAGTCCCAGCACCTCCCAAAAGCCCCACTCTCTCCTCCGGTGGTCACGGTGGAAGGATCATGGGAGAGACAGAAGGGAAGAAAGATGAGGCTGATTATAAGCGACTGCAGACCTTTCCTCTGGTCAGGGTAAGCCCCAGGGGCGGGAGGCAGGATGGCCAGCAGGGCCCACACAGCCTGGAAAGAGGTAGGTGCAGCTTGTGCCCTGCAGGATGGCAGCGGGAGGAAGTTAAGAAGGGCTGTGCTGGCTCAGACCTAGACATCTAGGAGTCGACAGTGATTCATTCTTTCATTCATTCATTCATTCACCAAGTATTTATTTAGGCCACCTGCTATATACCAGGCGCTGTTCTAGGGACTGTGGAAATGATAAATGGACCGATAAAGACCTGGCCCACGTGAAAGAAATGTTTGAAAAACATAATTGCAGGCAGTGAGTACTATAAAGAAAAATAAAGCAGATGCCAGGGGCTAGAGAGCAGAGGTTGGCTTCTGGAGAGGTTTCTCCGATCGGAGACCTGGATGAAGTTGGGGAGCAAGCCTTGCAGCCGTCTGGGGAGAACATGCCGAGCAGGGAAGCAAAGGAACAGGAAGCCGGAGGTGGGAATGAGCTCAGCATTTTGGAGGAAGAGAGACAAGGCCAGCATGGCTGGAGTGGAATTCTGAGAGAGGCGGCAGACGTGAGGGCCAGAGCCCACAGGCCTGGCCAGCCACAGTGAAGAATGTGGTGACAAATGTGGGTCTGTCCTGAGTGGAAAGGGGAGCAGTGGAAGGTTTTAAGCGGAGGAGCGATGTGATCTGTTTTGTGTTTTCAAAAGATCACTGTAGCTGTTTTGAGGAGAATGGAGTTTGGGGCACCAAGGTGGAAGTGGGGAGACCAGTGAGGACACTATTGCAGAGGCCCGGAGAGATGAGGATGGCTGGGCCCAGGTCACGGGGTGGAGGCGTGAGACATGGTCGGATTCAGGACATATCTTGAAGGTAGAGGCTGTAGGGCTTGCTGACAGGTGGATGCTAGGTATGGGGGGAAGAGAGTTAAGGATGACCCCTACGGTCTGTTTTTTTCTGAATAATGGGGAAAAAATGGTATTAATTACCAGGAAAGGGAAGATACAGGAAGAATGGGTTAGTGGGGAAACAAAAGTTATTTTTAAGACATCCAAGTGAGGTTGTCAAGTGGGCCGTTGGATGTAGGATTCCAGAGCCCAAAGAAGAGGTTAGAGCTGGGGGTGAAAGTGTGGGAACTCTCCCCTCACAGAAGACATCTAGATGCGTGGAACAGGGCGAGGTCCCTTAGAGGTGGAGTAGCTGGAGAAGGCAGAGGGTGGAGATGGGGCCCCATGCCCTGCAATAGTTGGCAGGAGGAGGGGATCCAGCAAATCCGTGGAGAAGGGGCAGCTGGAGAGGTGGGAGGAAAACCAGAGCCCTCGAGAGGGGCCGAGCAGCCTCTTCAGGCTTCTGGGGTGAGATTCTGTTGGAAACCATTTCCATAGCTGGCATTCCCTCCGTGCCTGGGCCGGCCTCCTTCCTTGTCCATTATCTGGAACACGATGTCGCTGAAGCTTCGTGCTCTTGCAGAGGGGCTGGGGCTGGAGAGCTCGTGTGGCTCAGCCCGATTCCACTTCCCTTCTGCCCCAGTGGTAGGCCCCCAGCCAGGAGATGGGTCACCCGCCAGCTTGTGCCAGAGAAGCTACTGGTGTCCATGCCTTAAGCTTGGGACAGAGAGGCCAGCCAGGAAGGCCAGGTCATGGGCTAAGCCTCTCTCTGTTTGTCACCCCTGCCCTGTCTCTAGCACTCGGACATGCCAGAGGAGATGCGAGTGGAGACCATGGAGCTATGTGTCACAGCCTGTGAGAAATTCTCCAACAACAACGAGGTATTGCCATCAGTGCAGGCGGCCCCTCGTGTCTTTGGTGACCCCTGTGGGTGAATAGTGGCCCAGTCCCCTGTGATCAGCTCCAGAGAGTCCTGCTGGGACTAGGCTAGAGCCTCCCTTGGAAGCGTTCGAAGTCTGGGAGAGGCAGTGAGAGAGGCAGCCAGTGCTGACTCCGGGCACTGATGGTCACGCCCAGTCCTAGAGGGAGAAAAGCCAGAGGGGTCTCCATGATACCCTGCCCATGCTCCCCGCTCAGGCAGCTACTGAATAGGGTGCCTTTCCCCACGGCTCCATCCTGGCCGTGAACAGAGGCCTGCCCAGGCATCCATTCGTACATTCATTCATCCATTGAGAAACGATGTTGAACACCCTCTCAGTGCCAGCACTGTCCTAGGTGCTAGGACATCGGGGGATCGGCTAGTAGGCATCGACACGGGAATGTCATTCATCAATCTGGTGGTAAACGGGAAAGAATTCAGTATCGTGGCAGCCAATGGGGTGGCAGACCCTGGCCAGTGAGAGTCCAGGCATTGGGACCGCCAGGCCCAAGTTCAAACCCTGTCTCTAGCCCTTCCTAGCTCTGTTCCCTTGGACAAGCCATTTCTCATTTCTGAGCCCAGTTTCCTAGTCTATAAACAAGGGGTGGAGGTGATGCTTCCTCACTGGGCCAGTTGTGAGGGCTTATTTACTGGGTCAATGGGGACAAAGTGCTCAGCATGGCACCTGGCATGGTGGTGGGTGCTGTCGGTGCACATCAAATGCCTGAACATGGGACTCTGCAAGGCTTGGTGCTCTGCCTGTCCCTAGGCCTCTTCTTCACACTGGGGGAAAGCTTCTTGAAAGAGCAAGCACAGGAAGAGGTGGTCTGTGGCCGTGACTGGGGGAAGCAGTCAGCTCCTCCTGGAGCCCACTGAACCCAGTAGGCACCGCGCGGCGGTGATGGTCACCCTCCCAGCCTGCACGCGCTCACACGTCTGTTCGCTCAGTTAGTCCTGAGAACTGTTTCCAGTTGAGGAAATTGGTACCGACCCAGAAACCCAGCACCAAGTGCCGAGCCAGGACTCAGACCCGGGCTGTCTCTAGACCTAATGCTCGCTTTCCCGCCTCAGCCAGTTTCTTCTTGACTGCTGAGGTAATGTCTAGCTTTCTGTCCCTGTGTAATAGCCCTGGCAGGAGGTGACCCGTGTGGAAGCCCATTGTGACGGTTCTCTGAGCAGGAGGACAACAGAAATAGGACAGCAGGCCTTCCTCTTGCCAAGACCTTGTTGCCAGACTTCTCCCTCCTGGAGAGGGACCTGACTCATGCCCACTCTCTCCCCCACGTCCCCGCTGATGAGCGCCCTCTTTGTTCCAGAGCGCCGCCAAGATGATCAAAGAAACGATGGACAAGAAGTTCGGCTCCTCCTGGCATGTGGTGATCGGTGAAGGCTTTGGGTTTGAGATCACACACGAGGTGAAGAACCTCCTCTACCTCTACTTCGGGGGGACCCTGGCTGTGTGTGTCTGGAAGTGTTCCTGATGCTCTGTCCCCAGCTCCTGTCCCCGTCCCCTGCAGGGCCTTTTCCTGCCACTCATCTGGGACGGGGAGCAGCCCCAGGCAGGTCCTGGGTTTTCCAAGGAGAGTTTGGGGTCTTTTCTTTTTGTCCTGTGTGCCAGTTTCCTGAGCCACGCCCAGTGTGTGAACTTGTTGACATCTCTATCCCCAGGCTCTCAGCCATCTCACGCCGAGTCCCGAGGTGTCCACGGGCCAGCAGGTGGCAGTCTCTGGGGGGAATGTGGGATGAGGAAGTGTGACAGGGTAAAGGAGGTGGGGAGATGGGATTTTTCCCATAAGGGTGTGCCAGGCCCCCCTTCCTCGAGGACTGCCCTCCCCTCAAATCCCGGAGTCCCACTGCCCTTCCATCCCAGCACTGCTGAGGAGTGTCCGCTGCCCTTATCATCAGTGGCCATATGAAAATGGCCCCAAGAAGGAGCCTCTCCTCGCAAGGGACACGGGCAGCTTCTCTCCTTGTCCTCCGGGGAAGTGCTGACCCAGGCAGAAGCCCCTCCCCTGCTTGGCCCCAGGCTGAACAAACCACTCCGGCTTTGGCATGGAGACCCAGCAGCCTTTGTCCCCTCTCCACCCCCCAGGCATGAACCTTTCTCATTGCCTCAGCCCGCGCAGTTGATAGCCAGGGGCCAGCGGGTGGGAACTGCTGCCAGGCAGTTTCTGGAGGTGTCCCTGGGCCTCTGGCGAGACGCCTGGGCCAGGGGTGCTCTCGCCGCGAGGCTGCTTCCGCAGGGAACCTGGCCCGCCAGCTACTCGTCATCAGGGACCGCATGCTGATTTGTACTTCTTATCTCTGCTGGCTTTTCTATATTCTTTTTGAGTGTGGGGAGAAGGGTTTTAGTAGAAGGGTGAATCGTATTTTACACAGCAGTCTTATTTATATAAATGTCTTGGTTTTTACAATTAAAACTTCCAAAAACTGACCTCGATCTATAGTCTCTTAAGGTTAGGGGAAGATGTGATCTGTATCTTCAGGCTTGGGTGGGTACCAGGAGCTCAGAAGTGTTTCTGGTTAAACGACAGAAGCTCCGGGCCCAGGCACAGCCCCACTCACCCTGACCCTGCCCTTTTCACCATTATGTCTCTGAAGTTGGGGACCAAGTGCAGTTGGACGGGGCCACATGGACACCGAGATACCCCTAGTGGCCAGACCGAGCTGCTGCAAAGATGTTTGCAGGCCCCCACAATTTAGCTCAGTTCAACAGATGTTTATTCAACAGCTGCTGAGTGCCAGGCCCAGGAACCGAGCAAAGGAAGGTGGAAAAGCCACAGATCTGGCCCTCGGTGAGCTCAGTCTACTGCGGAGGAATACTTGGGCCCCATCGTTTCAACCAATGTGAAAAGTGACATTATAAAGGACAGGGCATTCTGGGAGGGGGAAGAAGGGGCTCCAAGCCCAGCTTGGGGAGTAACAGGGTCTCCAGCAGGGTGAGGCCTGAAAGCCGACGCTTGAAAGAAGGGTGGGATTTTACCAAGGCAGAGGGCTGTTCCAGGCCAAGGGACAGTCTGAGTGAATGTGGGAGATAAGAAGTGGCTTGGGAATGAGGGGACACGCTGCAGGACTGGGAAGCCCCTGCAGCTCAGGGTTGGCCCCCAAATCCGAGCCTCGGACCTGAACACGCTGGGCATGGGCAGAGCAGGGCAGCCTGTCTTTGCCTTGTGTACACGGCCCTCCTCACGTGGCCCATCTAGGACCCTCAGGCCTGGGAGGCCAAGCCCTGGCCCAGTCCTGCCCTTCCGAGGCCGAGCGTCCGATGTAACAAGATCTGCCAACAGCCTTGCTGGGTGGCGTTGCATCAAGCAGATAAGTTTGCTTAGACAAAGACCAGTGCAGCCAAGGAGGGAGATTACTGCCATATGCTACATCCTGGGACAGATGAAAGAAAGAATGGAGTTGCAGTCACTGCCCCAAAGCTGGCCATCTGGCTGGGTGGCCTTAGGATCTAACCTCAGAACGGGTCCTGGCCCTCTAGGACTTGGTGGGCGGGGCAGCCCCTTGACCTCAGGCCTACGCTAGCCAGAGCCCTGTGCCACTGCAGGTGCTGGCAAGGGGTTGGCGAGCGTCACAGATGGGAGTGGAAGGAGAGAGGGAGGCGGGGGTGGCGCCGGAGGAGGGGAATGGGCGCTGAGGCCTGGAATAGCTACGGTTGATTAACCGCCTGCTTTGCATCTGTTCTCTCTTTTCGTCTGCTGCACGTGGGTGCCAAAAAGTGAGGCTGGCTCAGCCTGCAACCGAGGTGGTGGGGGTGGCGGGCAGGGGTGTGGGGTCTGAGGTCCCTGCCCTTCCTAATCTTGCTGTGACTCAGTTGCTTTGTCCGTGGAACAAGGATAAAAAGCACCAGCCTCAAGAGGCTGATGGGGAGTCTTAGGACTGCGTCTGAATCAGGTGACACACCAAGGGTATGTGGTGTACCCGTACTATACACCTTTCTCTTGCCACCTGTAGATGGTGTCACCTGTGCTGATAGCTCCCTCAGGACTGGGTGGGAATTCGGTGAGAGTGGGCTTGTGCGGTGCCCGCCCCTCACAGGCGTGCAATGTAGCGGCGCCACTGGTGGCGAGCACCCCTTCCACCTTAGTCATTTCTGGGTTTTTTTTGTTTTTAGTTTTTTGTTTTTGAGACAGAGTCTTGCTCTGTTGCCCCAGGTTGAGTACCGTGGCATCATCACTACAATCTCAAACTGCTGGGCTCAGGTGGTCGTCCTGCCTGAGCCTCCCAAGTAGCTGGGACTACAGGTGCACACTGCCATGCCCAGCTAATTTTCCTGTGTTTAGTAGAAATGGGGTCTTGCTCTTGGTTAGGCTGGTCTGGAACTCCTGACCTCAAGTGATCCTCCCACTCAGAGTGCTAGGATTATAGGCGTGAGCCACCACGCCCGGCCTCTTAGTCACTTCTGTCCACTGCACCCCTCCTCACTTGCCTTTCCAGAAATGGGTCATTAACAGCCTCCCTGTCCTGCTCCCAGAGGGTTGTGTGGTCACTGTTGGGCCAGATCAGGTGACCGGGGACCATGACATGTGTGTTTCCCAGGGGTTTCTTCTCTTGGCTTCCCAGTGGCTTTACTTCCCTCCACTCTCCAGGGCCTGTGTTAGCCAGGGTCACCCTGGCCTTCCTCCCAGGGTCCTCACTGCCCGTGGCCAGGGATTCAACAAGCATTTGCTGCAGGGCTAGAAAGGAGAGGGACATCACAATGAAGAAAGCACCATCCTTGCTGGCCAATGGCTCACAGTCTACTGGGGGGACAGACCCAGGAACAGGAAAGCAGCACATGCTAAAGTAATTTGCTAGAAGAGAGAAGGTGGGGTTCAGAGGATCTAGGGTTCTAAGAAGGGAACAACTCTCACTGCCTGGGGGACTAGGGAAGGCTTCACAGAGGAGGTGGCATTGAACTACGCCCTGGCATTTTCCGAGGGAGGGATGAGACGGGGGTAGGTAGGGGAAGGTCACCATCCTTTGAGGGAGCGACAGCACGTGCAGAGCGGCGGCTCACAGGTGTTCAGGGAAGTCAAGCAGTTGCGCATGGATCAGGAGAGGGTGAAGGTTTTGCTGGGGTTCGGGAGGAAAGAGACTTTCCTCTGTCGACTGTACCCCACTTGGCAGGCACCTCCCTCGGCACTGTGATGTTGTATAATCCCCAGCAGACCGCGAGGTAGGAATCGCTGTCCCCGTTTACAAATCGAGAAACCAAGGCTCAGAGGACGGAGCATCTGTCCCAGGGTCCAGCCAGAAGCGGCTCCAGCCAGGACTTTAACCCAGGCTGCCAGCCCCATAGTCCCTGTTCCTCCAGCACATGCTGCATTCTCAGGCCTTCTGTCTACCTCCCACCCTGCAGAGAGCTGGGGTCCCCACGGCCTGGCTGTGCCTGGGTCCACGCGTCTCCTAACTACTTCCTCCCACTGTCCCTGGGCCTCCCCTGTCCTCTCTGCTCTGACCACAGCAGCGCCACTGCTTACTTAGTGAGGCAGCAACCACAGGCCTGCAGCCACGGCCCTGCCTTTCCACTGCCATCTGCGGTGTGGGGAGCAGTGGCTCATCCCTCTAACACCTCAGTCCCCTCTGCTGGGCCCAGCTGGAGTCAGTGTGGGAAAATCAGCAACCTTTCCTGACATATCTGGAAGCCGAGTCACAGACCCCAACTCACAGGGACCCGTCCTGCCTGGGAGGGCAGTGAGTACCCCCGCCAGATCAGAGTGCCCTGGCCAGCTCACGGAAGTGGGCAGCTGCCTTCGAAGCTCTCAGTGGAGCCTGGGGAGAAATCCAGTGTTGCATGTTGCCTTGGAGGAGGTACAGACAACCTCCGGCATCTTGCTTGACCTACTTCCTGCTTCTCCAGAGGACAGACCCTCTAGGCAGACAGGGGGTGTCCCCTTGGGTTGTGAAGTCCCAGCCCAAACCAGTGTCTCTGTCTCCAGGCAGTGACTAAGCTGTGCAGGAAAGGCTGCGTTCCCAAAGAACAGGTGGCAGGCAGCATCTGATGGCGTCCTGCAGTCCCCTCCCCACAAGTTTGGGAAGGGGGCTGTCCAAGTGTAGCCACAGCCACCACCCTGTCCTATTTTCCTTTTGTTCTCCTCATCCTATATTTAAAGCAACCACCTCCCACTGCCAGCTGCTGTCTTCAATCCTTGGAAAGGCCTTGGGGGTGGGAAGAGAGCGCGCCTCGGAGGCAGAAGATTTGAATTATTAGTGATACCCCCAAACTCTGAGGAGCCCTAAATACCAGGCACGCCACCAAGCATTTTACAAACCCGATCCTGTCTGATTCTTACATGCATTCTGTAAGGTGATGCCATCAGTGTCCCCCTCTCACAGACGAGAAGTTGAGGCCGGCGAGCAAGCGGCAGGGCCTGTGACACCGGAGCCCAGCTCCTGCGCCTCTCCAGTAGCCACCCGCCAGCTTGGACAAGCCACTTGGCTTCCCAGGTCTCATTTTCCTCACCTGCAAGACGGGATTCACAGCTCCTACCCTGCCTCCTTCCCAAAGTCACTGTGGGGCCCCGGGAGAAGGGGTCATGAATGCGAACCTGCTGTAAAGCTGGAGGGCTGGTCGAGGATTTGGGCCAGGGCCAGTCTGGGGAGCCACCCCCACCTCGGGCCTCAGCTCTGGGTATGAGGCTTGGGAGTCTGGAAGACTTGGCCGCACAGGGCAGGTAGGTTGTCACCTCTAGCCCCTGTAGGCACCTGGGCCCTGCAGAGCCAAAGCAGGTGACCGCACACACAGATACCCCCATCCCAGACAGCTGGGCCCCACACAGCTGGGACCAGGCCCTGTCGCTTCCTCCTCAGCCTGGACAGACAATTCCAACAGCAAATGCATGTGAGGCCTTGGCTGTTGACCAAGCAGTGTCCACACTGAGTTTGCTCTTCCAGTCTCAAAATGGCCAACAAAGCAGGCCAGGGGGGTTCTGTGAGGATCCCCTCTCCCCTAACAGTGGCGAAATGGTGTCACACAGAACCTGTGACATGCCGGAACAAAGGCTGGCCTTGGGCTGAGGGTCTCCAGGACCCCTTGCCTACTGCACACCCAGACATACACTGTGTGTCCCCACTGTGCCATGTCTTTTGTCATGGTGTCTACACCTGCTACACTTGATTTACTCAACGGCTGGGACCATGTCATCTCTCTGTGCATCCTGATGGCCGGCCCAGGGTCTGATGCATACTGAAAATGCATCGTGCCTAGCAAGTGAGGGAATGAAAGGATGGATGGATGGGTGAGTGGGTGGGGTGGTTAGAAAGGTGGGTATGGTGGTTAACATGGGCCGGGTGCGGTGGCTCACGCCTGTAATCCTAGCACTCTCGGAGGCCGAGGTGGATGGATCGCTTGAGGTCAGCAGTTTGAGGTTGCTGTGAGCTAGGCTGACGCCACGGCACTCACTCTAGCCAGGGCAACAGAGCAAGACTCTGTCTCAAAAAACAAAAACA